AATGCAGCTCCTGCTGCTGCTACGCTGCTACTGTACTGCTCCTGTGCTTATGCTGTGGTGCTGCTGTGCTGCTGTTGTGCTGCTCCTACGTTGCTGCTGTGCTGCTACCGCTGCTGCTCGTAAGGTCCTGCTGGACTGCAACAGGAAGCAAAGGTGAGGTGTGGCAGAATCAACAACAGCAGCAGCAGCAGAGGGCAGGCTGCAGCAGCAGCAGCAGCAGCAGCAGCATCTTACCCATAGCTCTCAGTGCCTCTGCCATTGTTACAAGGGCGAAGAATCCCTGGGCCTTTCCAGCCTTCTCCATCGCCTCCGGCAGCTCCTGCTGCAGCCTCCTTCTTGCTGCTGCTGCTGCTGCTGCTGTTACGTCTCCTTCGGTCTGCTGGCCTCCCCTAAGGGGACCCAATGGCAGGCCGCATGCATCAAGGTGCTTCAGCGCCTGCTCACAGAGTTGATACACGTGCAACAAATTCTGCAGTTGATGCGGGGATAGGGGGGCCCCCCCAGGGCCCCCCGTCGGTAGGGGCCCCGTCTCCCTCAGCAGCAACTGGCCCTCACGCACAAGCGCCCGAGCAGCAGACAGGTGCGCCACAGCGTTGGACTGAGTGGGCGGGGGGCCAGGGGACCCCAGGGGGGCCCCCTCGGGGGCCTCCTCGGACATTAGGGGATAAGAAGCAACGTTGACTGTCCTGCTAGAGATCGCGCAGCTGTTGCTACCCTGTTGCTGCTGCTTTTGCTGCTGCTGCTGCCGCGGCTGAGGCGGTTGCCACAGAAACCAGCACAACTATGGCAAGTGTGGGTCCCGTGCAGTCTCGTCTGCAGCACCTCAGCAGCAGACCGAGCCACAGAGGAGCTACCCCTCCTGCGGTGGATTTCTGCTTTAACCTCCACGGGGGCCCCAAAGAGCATACGGGGGCCCCAATGCGCTTGAGTGCGCCCCTAAGAGCCCTGCTTATCGCAGTCGGGCGTTTCCAGTTTCTCTATGGCCTCAGAGAGCCCCAGTGTGCAGACAGCGCAGCTGCTGTTGCTCCCCCGCCTCTTGCTACCGCTGCTCCCGTTGCTGTCGCTGCTGCTGCGGGTGCCACCAGCAGACGTGCAGGCACGGCAAGGTGGGAGAAAGACGTTTCTTTGGATTATGGTGGAGCCTCTTGCTTCAGGGGGGCCTTCCTCTGCGTCTGCTGCAGCAGCGCAGCTGCTGCCGCCACTGCTGCTGCTGCTGTGCACTGCGGCAGCAGCAGGAGCTGCTGCCGCTGCGGCACTGCACAAAGCGGGGGCTCCTTGAGGCGCTGAGGACAGGGGCAGCTGCTAAAGCCTGCCGTATAAAAACGAAGGAGAATGGGGAGGACAACGCCCCTGCATTTTCGAGTGTACAGTCACCTGGGCAGCAGCTGTGGCACTCTGTTGCCCGTTCCCCCCTCTAAGCCGCAACACGAGGCCCCCCAGCCCCAAACTCTCCTCCCTTCCTCTCTGTTCTGTGTCGCATATTTAGGTTTCCAGAATAAATGAAGCTCAAGGAATTTAAAGACATAATTAACGAGGCAACGCCTCCTATCTGCAGCTACCCCCTCCCTCCCCACGAGCAAGAGGGCCACTTGGGGTGGGGGGGTCTGGTGGCTGCTGCTTCGGATGCCCCTGCGGCGCAGCGATGAATTAATTTAGACAAATGACGTGGTAGTGTACAGTCGTTTAACTTGCATCTGCAGCATCGAGGTAGAGCCGCTCCGGAAATATGCGAAGGGCTGCCGCCACCTCGGTAATGTCGCAGCGTACACTTTGGGAGGCAGAGACACGGGAGTGGAAGCCCTTACAGTTGAGCACAGTCACAGCACAAGTAGAGCAATTGTACTTTGTGGCAGCGGTCAGAGGAAGTGGCCAGGGGGCCGATGGTAGAGATGAGGTATGGAGGATTGCTGACCCTGCGGGGCTAGGGCGTGGGAAGGCACGCGCTGGTGTTGGGGATGGACAGCGATACAGCGCTCGCATCAAAGGTATATTCAGGGCCTCATAGATTCTCCATCCCTTGCGTCCAATGTTCCTAGAGGTACTTCGAGATAGCGCACGCGGCAAGCAGTCCCAGTTTAGCAGTTTATCCGTTGGGGCGCTTCATTGTCTCGGCAACTACCTCCGATGACCGGTGGTTTCGCACAGGTTAATGTTGAACGTCTACAACAGTTTCTGCTTGGGAATAAGCGGTTGCCGCTTCGCCTGAGATTAGCGCTCGCCTAATACTTTCGGACGGAAACTCACCGAGAGCAAGGACCGTTAGTGTCGGCCGCATGGCATAATAAGTTAACAGTCCGAAATATTTAAAAACGATCTATCGCTCCGCAGAGAAATATCCTGCAGTCGGGCTTCCGAGACAGCAGCGTTCGAGCTCACAGTAATGGGAGGAGGCGGGTCTCAGATGGTGTCAGCATTGCCAGCAGTACCACAACTGCAATGAGAGTCCTCCACCTTATTGGAGGAATATCATGTGCTGCGATATAGCTCAAAATACCGACAATCATGCATTTCCCTGCGAAGCACAGCTGGAACGCAAAATCAGCTGGATCAGCATTTCGTCTGGTACCGCAGGAGATAGCGGTCGATGCGTTTCAGGTGAACCCGTCGCCCGCTTACCGAGAAGCGCGGCCCGGTAAGCATCTAAGGCTCAAAAAGAAAGCGATTTGCAGAGGAAATGGGAATCAATGCAGAGAAGAACGGCTCCTGTGCACGGTTCATGACCGAGGAAAATCACGATATTGGTGATATTCATGATGTAATCTGCAGTCGCAGTGGATAAGCCGGCAAGGCCATCGAATAACTTTGTATTTCGTCAGGTTTCTCGGGTTATCGTGGTCTGTGTGATCGACGAACTGCCTACCGTACTGCTAATGGAGATACATTTTTCCTTCCGATGACCCCGCTTAGAGCGCCATCTCACGTGATAGATACTTCTGCTTCCTTTGTGCGAAATGACGTGAGTAGTGATTATTTGATGAGGTTTCGAGCCGTTAGCTTGCTGGGGGAGCATCTCCCCAACTGCCGCCTCGTTGATACGGATCGTTATGAAGAGGCTGCTCAAAGTCGCAGAGTGCGAACACGGGTGAGAGTCTCGTGTGGGAAACTCCCCTTCAGAAGGGCCAGTCTAAGGGGAGTTTGGGGCCTTAGGGATCATGTGGCCCTCGGAACTTGATCCAACTCACTGCAGTAGATGCACCAGTCACTGCCAGCAGCTCTGCGTCTTGTGCCCAAAACGACAACACAAACGTAGATGAAAACACACAATTGTGAGGCGTGGTATGGGTCCAAGTTCCTTCACACGATGGGGTGATGCGAAGCCATTACACTAGAGGCACTGCAGGCCCAGTAAGCTGATGAGGTGTGGGGAGAGCCCTCAGTCCCTCACATACTATGCTGAGATTTGTTCACGACGACGTAGAGTATTTCTGTTTAGTATAAATATTTGCAGTTAGCTCTACGTATTGTCGGGCTGTATCTCTGAAGGACTACTGCGGGGCGCATCAATAGAACCCCACAGCTCAGTATAGCGAGCTGGCAGGCGTCAGCTATCATACTGATACAACAACATAACAAACTAACAAGGGTCAAGGGAAAGTGCTTCTCTCACTTTCTTTTCCCAAACTGTTCTGTTCTACAGCCCCGATAGAGCCGGCACTGCGGCCTTTGGGGGTGGGAGAGGAGACGTAGCATGTTGCAATGCCTTTTTCACCAAGGCTCATGCCAGCCTCTCCTATAGTCATACAAATAGTCACTTCATAAAGAATGTTTAATACGTTCACCAATGTTATACTCAGTGTGCATCAATAAGCACTCACAGACACTGTTCATACAAACCTCACTTATTTCACAACGAGCACGGCATTCTTGCCGTGATTGTAGTGAGTATTCACTACATCCCGGGTGTCTGATGAGGCTTTTGGTGGTACAGTAGGCTGCTAGCTAGCTGATCTAGCTGTCTCAGCTAGCTCATGGAAATACTCCAACATGTCAGTGTAAGTAGCTTGGGTAGCCATCCTAGATTGTAACGAGATCCAACTAGCCAGACATCTTTCTAGCTAGGCTGTGTTGCAGTCCGCTTAGTTGGAGGTGACTTCTTCGATTCAAGAGTACCCAAGTAAATATGAGGGAGGAGGAAATGGGGCATCGCTCTCCTTCCACGCAGGTTGCTTGTACTTCTTTATTACACCCGTTAGAGGGGCGGCAGGGCTAGCGAATTGGCCTATGAAGATGCTGTAGTACGAAGTGAGTGCAAAGCGCTTCTGGATCTTCGTGCGAGTGTACAGGGGCAGCGGTGACGCTCGAATAGCCTCACTGTGCGCCGTATCCGGTTCAACTCCCTCCGGCAGGGACATACAACCAAAAGGAACTTATTGCTTGCATGCGCTTTCACAAGCTGTGGCTTCTCATGGTGCATTTCCAGAGCATGCCGTATGCACTTAAGGTGCTCCTGCACATTCCAACAGAACATAAGCAAATTGTCGACGCGTCCAACCACCCAGGCTCTAGTGAGTAGCTCCAAGAAATCGTAAATGAGATGCCGCTGCGGCAGTTGCATTCACGAGCCCAAAGGGCATACACGTAGGGGCATACACGTCTAAACTAGTTTGCAAGCGAGTGCATGAAGCCCAGGTTGGGATGTGCAAGAACGCCTCGGCGAATTCAAATGGTGAACCCACTGCGGAACGCCGCAGTCAGTCAAGACGTTCGTCAGTCTGGTACATCGGAGACTTCTCTTTCACCGTGAGTTTGTTGAGCGGCTTGAAGTCGGGGCACACGCGCCAACATCCCAATTTCTTTCTCTGCCAATACCAGATTGTGCCGAACTATAAGTCGAGGGTACAGTCTTGCCGTTTCTTTGCAGCTCACCTGCGTGCTGCTCGAATTCTTCTTCAATATAGCCCTTGCTCTCCAGCCTTACTCAAGGACAGAAGCGAGCTGCAATCTAGGTAACGACTTGAAGAGTTTCGCAGAAGCATATGAGATACTTCCGCTGCCCCCAAGCAACCTGGGCGTTAGGCTCAGGGTCTGGATGTTACGGGGAGGGCAACCTGAAACAGGGTTGCAAAGCACCTCGCTGCATCTGGTAGCACATGCCAGCCTCACTTGGCCTCGGTAGGCCGCGTGTAAGCGCATGCAAACGTTCTACAAATACATTCAGAAGTAAAGCATCCAGCAAAAGAAGCTTCGATGGAGCTTCCGTGTGTGCACGCGTGAGGCTGGATTGTATTAGCAGCCTCAACGAGGTGCGCTGCAACCCCACATCAGGCTGCCTCGTTCCCGCAGCACCCAGGCCCTGAGCTCAACGCCCAGGAGGCCTGAGGGCAGGGGAAAAAGGTCAGCTGCTCTTGGGATATTCTTGCCTTGTCTTGAGGTACATCGTAGCTTGCTTCGGTCCTTGACTAAGGCCAGAGAGCAAGTGTCATAGAAGCTCCAGCGAAGCTTCCCTTACTGCATGCTTTACCTTTGAAAACGCTTTATAGAACGTTTGCTTTTGCTTATAACCGACCTACCAAGACCAAGTGAAAGTTCCTATGCTAACTATAGGCAGAGCATGCTACACTTTCGGCGACGTCTACGCGCCGGCAAGTTCGCGCCGGGAGGTTCGGTATCGCGGAGCGTTCCACGTATAGTCAATTTAAATGTCTTTCCACGAAATAAATGGCGTTTCCAGGGGATTATGTTTGGGTATGGTGAGGATATGGGCAACGATAACAAAAAAGCAGACTATCTGCCCTCAGCTGTCTTGAAGAGAGCGCTGTAGAGGAGCGGGGGATCTACGGTTCGCCTGATTTGGGATCCAGCAGGTAGAGGCGACGGAAAAAAAGCAAGAAAGGGCATTATCCAGCATAATCAGTTCTGGTCTTTTTAGTTATAAAGGGATCTGTGGGTGTGGTGCCCTTTTTAATCACTGTGCTGTCTCTCCCCGATCCCTGGCATTCGCTTTCGTGTAGAGCACGTCGTGTTCGGCGTAGCTTCACAGCAGCCTGCTTTGAAGCTGGCGGCATCTTCCCTCCTGCATAGCGACACGACAGTCTTTTGCTATTGTCATTTTCTAGGATGTATGCATTATCTGTTCGCTGAATTTGGCACGAGCTTATGTCGTCTTCGCCGTCAGCCCCTTCCAAGGTGAAGGACGGTCTGCAGGCGCACGTAAAAGAGGGCCGTGGGGTGCCCCCCTTGCCGTATCCATACTTATTTTGTTTGAAATGCAGAACGGGCTGTACGTAGAAGGGCTCGCTGCAAAGGCTGCAGTTGGCTCTGCAGCCACGCAGGAACTGCAACGCACTAAGGGCTTCGGTGGAGCCCGTCACAGCGCCCACAGCTTGGGTAGACGTCCAACGAACGCTTCGCGACGGGCCTTCTCGACTAGCCCGAAGGAATCCGCCCAAAAGCAAAACCGTGCGTTTCTTGTTGCAGCGCTCACTGGGTTCTTGGCCGGCTTCTTTGCCGTCTTTGGAGGCTGGATAGAACTCAGGGGTTTTCCAGTCATCAGAGGCACAAGGGAATCTACATATCCAGATGGTCTCCTGCCCGATGGCACTCCAAACCCTGACCTGGACCCGCAAGACCCATATGAACAGTACTTGGAGCAGCCGGACCAGCCAGACCTGCAGCCGCCATACACGCTGCAGCCTTCGCAGGAACCGTCATCGCAACAGCCTCTTCAACAGCCTCTGCAACAGCCGCACCTGGAGCAGCCTCCGCAGCAACCAGAGTTGCATTCGCAGCAACAGCTGCAGCCGCAACACCAGCCGCCGGAGCAGCAGCAACAGCATCCAGAGGAACTAAATCCGCTTCAGCAGCCGCAGCAGCCGGAAGTAGAGCCGCCTCAGC